GGGGGGGGGGGGGGGGGGTGTCTCGAGCACTTTGTCTGTTAGGTGCTTTGACCACTGAAACAAGAACAATCACTACGCAGGGAGCGCGTGGGGGGTACGATACGTTCACCGAAGGGTGGTGCTCAAACGCTCTGGATATGTCCAGGTCTTTGCAACGAGTGGGAGAAAAAACGGCTGGAAACTGGGCTCTTTTCCATAGATCGAAGTATACATTTATCAAAGTACAACAGTTCAGCAAGTTTGTATCTCGTAAAATGAAATCCCTGCGCAAACGCGTCAAAACCCGCACCTTCTTCGTCGGCCTCTCCCTAGTGAGCAGCGAAGGAGGATCGTTGAGCATCTCCTTCGTCTTCAGCTCCGAGAGGCACCCGGCCACCCCTCCCTCCAGCAACAGCCTCCCGAACCACCGGAAAACAGTGTCGGGTCTGTTCTTCGGCGCGACAGAGGCCAGCGTCGTGAGGTGCGGGGGCAACTCCCACCCGTGGACGCCGTACCGAGGGGTAACCCTGGGTCGCGTGCAAAAGGCGCGGTGGGAGGGATTAATGAGAAGTTTTCTCCGACTCACTGCGAAGACTTTAAACACATACCCTTCGACTGCTGTGATACTATCTCGAACGGGTCGAATGGTCTTTCCGTGATTGCAAGCAAGTCTTCTGCAAAAAAATCAACATCGAACATATTTTCTCGCTTCTTGTCTCTTTGGCCCCATCCTTAGCTGCCGGGGAGAAAACAAGGCGGGCTTCAGACCTGGCCGGGGCTACTTGCACCCCCGGCCTGCCGTACAGAAACAATCCAGGCTGCTCTTGTCTCTTGGCGAAGCGATCCATATGCAGCAACGAGAACCGGCAGACGCTTACACCCGTTCGAACAGAGTTACGTGGCCACCCTTGATCCATCGCGTGTTCCTGTCTATTACCCGCGTTCTTTCTTGTACCACCTCGCCTACGGAAGGACAGCAGTAACGAAAGCCACCACAAGGGAACATATGCGCTTCTTTTCTGTAGGAGCCCGCACTCCCCTGGAGACATTTCCCTGCGTCCAGTGTTCACGAGCGCTCAGACACCCTTCCTTACGGGCGGTACTTGTGCTTGCAAATACAGTTGTAGGCCCTCTATAAGGCGGGTATGTGTCAGACCGACTCACCCGCCCCAACACAGAGCACCCGCCCTATTCAATGAAGTACTAACCGTCTTGAATATTGCATCTGTGCCAGCAAATTCGCCCGCGCCTACCGCGGGTACCCGCCTTATAGAGGGCCTATGACTGAGAAGCAGAATATTGTTGGCCCCGCCTACCTGCAAAGGACGGCGTGGGTCTCTTTGCTGTCATACGTCGGCGGCGGCGACACCAGCGGGTCGGAGAAGGACAACAGCGGCGAGCCCTCCGCCAGAGCGGGGATCCACGCGGCCTCGATCGCGGTCACGCAGGTCATGTGCGCCGCCGCTCCCTCGCGTTCGCCGCGCACGATGTCCTGGGAGGGCGGGGGGGGGGGTTGTTCTCGGCAACGTGTTTGGTTTGGCATTCCTGAGTACAGGGTATATTTGCGGTACAATAGCGTTCACCGATGTCAGAGAGGATCTGTCCTTCTTTCGCTTCGAGGATCCCCAAATGCGTGTATAAGGAGAGGCAAGCATCGCAACGCGTGGCCCTACAGAAGTCCACCTTCCATCAAAGACAGAAATACTGCCAAACACGCATGTATATCAATCACGCGTGCGCCAAGCACATCATCGGCACCTCAACTATCGTGGTGAAAGTGTTTCCACGTGGGTCGGTACATATGGCTAGACCAATCTAGTCCCTACCTCCGACTATTCAACGATGATCCGAATAAAACTAATTCCAACAATTACCGTATCGTATCGTACTGTACCGTACCGTACCGTACACACACCTGGTACACCACCCATTCCGGCAGCTCCAGCGGGTCTCTCGAAAACAGAACCGAGGTGCTCTTGATGTACAGGGGCTCCGTGACGGCCTCGTTGCAGCTGAGGTATGCGCACTCCCGGAAAAGCTTGCTCCCGGCCTTGACGGTCCCCGCCGGCGCCCTTCGAGCGACATTGTCCAACAGCCCAGACAACAATACCTGTAGGTCGGGAAGGGGGGAGGGGAAGGGAGGGCGGTCTCATGATTTTCACACGTTAGTGGCTAGACCATTGACCAAGCGATCTCGAGAGGACGGAGCAGGGGGGGGAGGGGGAGGGGGGGCGGTACTCTTATGTTTTGCATACCTTCGCGGTTAGACCATTGACCACGCGCCCTCCAGAGGACCGAGCATTGTTCCCACAGGACCGATCACACCATGGCCAATCGTTCCTACTTTGCCAAAGGTGGCTCAAAAATGTCTTCCCTAGTCTTATCTATTCTCACGATATCCCTTCCCGCTTTTTCAACCCAATTCCTATGCCACACTACAGCCACCAGGGAGGAGGGGGGGGGG